TAATTCTATATTGGGTTTTCAGAGGTCTTTGTCAAGAAATGGGAGAATGCTTCCTACTCACAATTCCAGACTGCTCAGCTAAGACTTTAATGTACGCAACACAGAATAGTACAGCAGATGGGACGCTATTTTTGGACTGTGGAAAAGGTTACAAATCTTCCAAGTCAAAACCTGCAAGATATGATCACTTCACAGTGAATCATTCGTTTAATTTTTATAGACCCAATCACTCAGTGGCGTAGCTAGGGTGGGGCAAGGGGGGGACATCTGTCCCCGGGCGCAGCATTCAGGAGGCGCCAAATTAATGCTACGAAATCTTTTAAGGAAATGTTTTCCATTCTTGGCACAGAGGAAGGGGCGCAAATTCTTCAGTTGACCCCGGGCGCTGGAAACTCTAGCTACGCCCCTGCAATCACTGGTTGTCACACCCAACCTATCGAACATTTTTAGAACAGCGCCAAATGGAAGAACAAATGCCACAGGAGATGCTCAACATTTTGAACTTTATCAGTACAATTAATGTGACGCTGCATTCATCCAAAGACCAAAATGTTTCCTGCCATACTAGCGAATATTTGTAAATTTATGTATCCTGTTTAGTGTCCTCATTCATTTCAGCTTACGTATTTTTAGTAATTAAGAGAGGAAAATTTTTTTTTTTGTAATAATAAATTCCTATCTATAAATTCTTATAACTAGAAATTGTTTCAATTAAAAAAAAACTTGCCAAAATGTGCGGCAGGCATAGAACGTAAAAGTGCCAATGAAAGTTATCTAGACAAATATATAAATAGTTCAAGAAATGATAATTTACACTGAAAAATTTGAAAGCTAAATTAAAATTGTAAATCTGGCTTCCTTTCACTCTTTTTATTTGGAGAAAAATCTTACCAAATCAAAACCATGAATCACTAAATTATGTGTAACAACAGGGTAAAATCCTAGCATACAGTGCAGCCTTGGCACGATTTTGAAAATCATCGCCAACACCAAAGATGACACAAAGAAGGTCTATGTACATACTATACACTATATACGTATAGTATATACACTATATACATATCATATACTATGTATGACTATATATATTCTTTGAATGGCCCGTTTACTACTCATCGTATATGTCCCGTTTTTACAGCTCATCATAAAGTCGCCAAATCCCGTGTGCACCGGATACTAGGATTAAACCAACAACAGATTTAGGTTCATCAGTTAGCAAGTATGACTAACAGCTGTGATTATGTGAAAAATTTGATTAGACAGAAATGTGAATCATTTTGGTTGGGAACTTTTACTATGGTAGGTATTCTTCATGGATATGCTTTATAGGGATTATGTAATGAATGAAGTACATAAAGTAGATTTAAAGTGTTTGTTTACATTGTAATACAAGAATTAAAAATATGTGATTGACTGTCAGATGGAGAATATATCAATCACTAACTAAGAAGAAGAAATTCATTCAATAACAAAAACATTTTGAAAGACTTTGAATGACTATGCCATGTGAAAAAAGGGCTCTAGTGTAGAATTAGGTGCCCCTTCGATTAGCGACAATTTTTTTTTAAATTTTGGTGATGAAACCTCACTTCTGGTTACCATGATAGTTTTAACTCTGTTTTAGCTTCCTGATTTTATTTAAATGAAAATAGATTGATGTGTATATGGACAAATTCAAATTTGTAGTAAAAGAAATAATGGTACTTTTTTGCCGGCGCAAACGATAAAGTCGCCAATAATGGTACAATTGATGCCAAACGGAATATCTTCGCTAGTAACCTTTTACGCTTCATTTTCAAACAAGTTGTCAGCCATTTCTTATCAGATTGATTCTCTCTTTTAATACTGGCATACAATACATAACATTTTTACCTAGAAAGCTAAATTTTTATGCCCTAAGGACCATTCGCGGTAATTAAGTTAATTAGGATGCCCAATCACACCGAAGCCGAAAATATAGAAAAGGCAAAATCATGGGTTAAATTCAACAATTCTAGTGAGAATGCACTAGCGAAGTAAAGCAAGGCGGTTTTACATAATTTCTGAGTAAGCTATTCGTACGAGTTGAACTAATTCTTGCATTTAAATTTGTATTCTATATTAAGATTTAACTTGAAATTAATGTAGATAATTACTGAGAGAATTAGTTTTTTGTAGCGTAGTTTACGTGAGATGAGATCATTTGGGGTCATGTGATATGAACCGGCGAATCGGGATGTTGAACCATGAAAGTATAGTAAATTCTTAAATTAATGTGTTTTTACAAATTTATTGTCTTTATTTACTAGCTTTTTACAAAATTTTAAACCATATTAAAATGTTTATGTAATTTGTAGTAAAAGAAATAATTTTAAATTCATGTAGTAAAAGAAAGAACTACATGGTATCTGATTGTATTTTCCCCTCAGAACTAAGTTGCAGTGAAAAAAGGCCAAATATAGACAAAACTGTTAATAGTGTCACATTCACAAAAATGCAAGTGAAAAAAGCATATGTAATATAATACAAGTGAAGTTTTACATAAGAGAAAACAATGGTTTGTTTGTAAGTTGATCACTATACAGAATTTCACATGAAAATATATCACACTTAGCAAGAATATGCATACCTGTATGCAATATATACAATGAATGTTGCCTTTTTAATATCTACATATTCAATCTTCAAAAGTGGACCAAATATCACAAAAGTATATACAATGTTGATTACAACTTAGTTATGATAAAAAAAACTATACAATGAGTTATTCACATTAACAACAACAAAAAAGGGAAGCACTTCCGGAGAGAACCCGGTGAATGTAAACATTGCCAAATTTGGCGATAATAGTTAAAATCTGGTAACCCAGCGGATTCAACCTATTCGCTTGTTGCAACCATTCATCTTGCGTCCATTTTGTTTCGTTATCACTGTGGTTCTTCGCATTTGCAGATTTCTATTATTCTTCTTTTATTTATTACTTTTTTTCTTAATTTTTTAACAACGAATAGATAGAAATATTTTAGTAGATCCCGGTTCTCGGTTCGGGATGAAAGGAAGAAAATAAAGCGGGAGGGGTGAATGCTAATTTGTAACACGGCTGTTCACGTTGTGTTCTTAATTATTAACAGCTGTACGCACGCAGAACCATGAGGTTCGAAACGCTCAAATAATTCGTTTTCGTACTCCGCAAAAATGTGCGTTTTAAATAATTAAGTAATGCTTTTATTTTTATTATTGTTTATTCTCACCTAAAACTATGATAATAAATCAATTTTTATGGCGTAAAAATTGTAAACAATATATTGTTAATGCTTTTCTTACAATAACCTTTCAGAGGATGGCAGGTGTGACATAAATAGATTATTAAATTTAATAATAAATATTATTATTACTGATTATCTGTGACAGAATAGTTTGATGTATTCCCATGGTCATCAAAATTAGCAAACCACTGCTGGTGTAAGGAATATAGTTCAAATGACTCTTGAAAAGTAATGAAATGTGTAATGTTCAAGTTTTATTAACAATGCTACTGAAGAAAATTTGATTACTGTTGAAGGCTATTAGTATTGTGAAATAAATTATGAAAAGGATGGGTATTTGTTTCAATGTAAATTGCTTTAACCTGCATGCAGTAACATAAAAAAAAAAAAATACTGAAAACTGTTAATCAGAGTTCATACACATTTCTGCACACAGAAATTAAGGACCATTAATGAAAAAAATTCAGGACCTATGAGTAAACGCGAACTGATAAATTCAATTAAAAATATTAGCGATGCCTGCATTTCACATTTGTAATACCATCCTAAAAAATAAAATAGATCCATAAGTATGTATTATTACTAAACATGAATTAACATAATTATTAATAAGTTTGAAAATGAAATAAACTTTAAGTAATTGATCAAGTAGCATTAAATATTTTACACTTATAATAGTTGGGCATATTTGAAAGAAGTGACATTTACATTTTACTAACTTTATGTAACTTTTTTTTTGTCTCATAATGTCACATACTTGGTCAGGCTAGCGGTTTAGTAAGTAGCAGGTTGATTTTATGTCAAATGGCATAGGTTAAAATGAGAAGTATCATAATCAGCAAAATTCATAACAAAAGTTAATAATTAATTTCTGTTTAAATTTAATACCAATTTATTTCCGTATATCACGTTTAACCTGTTAGTTTTACATCTACATGCTTATTATCTGTGAATTTTTACTACCATATGCTTAATATATTGTTTAGTCTGCTAACTAGAATTTACATGCACTAAAAATCACGTTTACAAAGTATCACGTTTACGGCTCGCCTCAAGCGTCGATGAAACGCGAGCTTGGCGAGTAAAAATGGAACGGCGCCAATGGGTTCTCTGCGGATGAAAACCCCAAAAAAGTTATTATTATTTTTGAAGAACAACATATAAACTTTTCCAAAAAGCATATATATTTTCTATTTATTCAGATATGTGGAGTTTTTAAAATTTTTTTCAAACCTATTAAAATTATTTTTAAGAATGTTGTAATACATATATTTAGGAACTAAGTAACTGAATTATCACCTATATAGATTTTGGTGATTATTTTGTATTTGAAGCTGTCAATAGAGAGAAATTCATATTTTTCATGATACACATAATATCCAAACTAAATGTCTGTCAACTTTTAAGCATATTTTGCTTACAATTTTTTTATATGTTCAAGATTCTGACACGATTCTAATGATACATATATGTATATATATATTTAAATGATAAAAAAGAAATATTTTTCTTTTGTTGTATTTATTCTATTATTCTATTCTATTATTATTACATTACATTATTCATTTTAGGTTTTAAATGCCTTTTAACATTATGACTCTCCATACACAAAACAAATCCAAAAAAATCCAAACAAATCTATTCTGCATTTGATAACAAATAATTGCATTTGGTATCCAAATAAGATTTCCTACTACAGAACATTACACATAAAAGTAGGCTATAAAAAATAATTAAACATTAGATTACCAAGAATGATCTAAAAGCACGAAAATACATTTTTATTCTTAACAATGTCCATGAACAAATTTTACAATGTATTAGCATCACATATTAATTATACATAAATACATAATCTTAGCTTTCCATTACCTTATTAAAAAACATGAATATTAAGTCCCTAATTAACTGTAAGAGAAACATTAAGTATCCAAACTGATGAACAGTAGCAAAGATTTCATACAGTGTTAGTTTCTGTTTATAACATATTCAACTTTAAATATGTAAATGAAACTATGTTACAGAATTATGCCTCTTTTAAATTAACCAGATTTTGTAAGAAAAATACAAATTTTGTCAAAAACATTTTACACTCTGCATGGTTTTTAAATTCTACAGGCACTTCAATAAATTTTTACTCTATTGGGAAGCTTATTTATACACTTAATTAAAAAACATGAAATTGGTATAACTTACCTATTCTGAATTTTATGTTCACTGCCAATCTCAAAATTTTTAAAATAATTTTTATAATAAAATTTAACATCAGTTTATAAGTAAGCTATATAATAGCTGATATCTTAGTGCATACAAAACAGCAAGTAACCATGCCAAATGCATAAAAATTTATCATTCCATATATTAGCCACAAATAGTTTCAGATGGTTACACCTCCATATAGCAATAATAGTGAAATCATGTTGTACTTTTAATTGCTTTTCTAAATATTAATGGTATGTCTTTATATGAATTGACAACATAATAAACTCTTCTTTCTCTAGCATCTTGTATCAGAGCTTTCCAGTGAGGGTCACAGATCAAAGATTTCATATGGCCACATATAATCAGACACTTACGAGCTCGCGTTATTGCCACGTTCAGCCGCTTTTTGGAGCTGACGAAGCCAATGTTTCCAGAATTATTAGCTCGAACAGAAGAAAATATTATTACATCTTTTTCTCTGCCTTGAAAACCATCAACTGTATTTACTTCAATAGTTTTCCATGCAGGACTGTTATTTACACAGTTTTTATACATAGCAAGCTGTCCTTGGTATGGTGTTATAATTCCTATAGGCATCTTGGAGTCAATCAGTAAAAGCTGTTCACAAATTTTAACTATAGAGAAAGCTTCATACTGATTGGCTTTTGAATTAGCTGCATTTGATTCCAAACTATCTTGTACATCATATACCAAATATGGGAACACTTTGAAATATACATCTCTGATATCAGTTTCTGGAGAAGTAATTAAATTTCCTTCATAAAAGTATTTTGATGGAAAATGACATATTTGAGAATGCATACGGTACTGCTCTCTCAACATAAATAAAGGACTATCATGGAAGTTTTTCTTGAAATATACATGAAATCTTTCAAACATTGATCTTTCAAATCCATACTCAACAGCTAATTTTGAGTTAACTGTTGCAGGTAACTGTTGATGGTCACCAACTAAAATTAATTTGTCCATTTGAAATAGAAGAGGTTGAAGCATTTCAAGTTCGGTACACTGTGTTGCCTCATCAACAATACAACATGAAAAAAAACTTCTGGGATTTGGCTTAAATGTCATATGCAATATGGATTGACCACAACTACCTAGGGTGCTAAGTACAATCTTAGATTCCGTTAAAACTTTTTGTCTGTACAGATTCTGAACGCTATAAGCCAAGCCTTTGAAAGAAAACTGTGAATATTTATTTTGCCACTGCGATTTCAAGGAATTTAAACTGGCTTCTGAGGCATTATCTGGTGCATTTCTCATTTTCTCTTCTAACTGTTTAATTTTTGTTTCCAAATCTTTCAGTTCTTTTCTTTTTTGATCTATATTAGTCTGCCTTTCTTCATGATATAAGTTAAAAGCTTTTTCATCAAGAAAGTACTTTAAAATTTCAGGATGCATTTGTGCCGGTTGCCCAATACGAACAAATGTTACTTTCTCAGACTGCCACTTTGATTGCTTGCTTAACTTAACCAATCTTAAACCAATTTCGTCAACTGCTGCATTGGAAGGTGCAGTTATTAATATTTTCCCTTTGATGCTATTACAATTTAATATTTCCTCAATTAAGCCAATAATCGTATGGGTTTTACCAGCTCCAGGAGGTCCCTGCAGTAAAATTATTTTGGGCTTTTGTACAGAACACTGCAAATCAGTGGCGACCCCTTCAATAAATTGCATCTGAGAAAAATTGAAATCACGAGAAGGAAATATACCTGATCGATAGTTAACAAAAAACGTTTCGAAGCGTGGACAAATAATATCCATATGTAATGGAGAAAATACGATATTATGTAAGCAGTCTGCCAAGCGCAGTCGATTTCTCAAAGAACATATACCATTAGCTTTCATTAAATGTTTGTACTTTGGCTGCATATGTCTACGCTTGACATAAACTGAAAAAGAACAAAGTTTTGCACTAGTTAGCCATTGTGGAGGCATTTTACGCCACACATCAGAGTTCAAGATATCAGGAGTCAGTTCCTCTACAGTAAACTTGTTTATGTATCCAAATATAGGATTACTACATTTATCTTTATTTTGATATTGGATATGCATAATAATTAAATTCCCCTCCACTGGGTTGAACGATAATTTATTTATGATTGATCTACATAACAATTTAGTCATACCTTCTTCAAATTTACTAGATACTATTTCAAAATAAAACTTATTCCGAGAATTTTGGCTATCTATGATAGGTGCAGATTCTTGACATATTAAATCCCACAGTTCTAGCATCAGCATAGGTGAAAACGAAGAAACGTATTTGTCTAGGGAATCAAAATGTAAAGGCAAATGATCGGCTCCTTCATAAACATATGGAGGAGGAAATTTTATCTTTTTTTGTTCTTCAAGCCATTTCACATTTAATCCCAAAACTTTTTCTAAAACAGTATAAAATTTTATTCTAGATACACTATTACTATTTTTCTCCAATCCTTGAGTTTGATGTGGATTATTTTGCATTGAAATCTTGAAATGACCACGGCCCTTTTCATTCATTTCTACATTTGAATGCTTGTTAGACAACTGTCCTCGCACCTTTTGCACATTTCTTTTCAACCGGGGATCAGCAACATAAGAAGGTAAACCATCTGATTTCACAAAAGGCATGCCATTCTCGGAAATGTAACTTTTTCCTGATGCGGAAGTTACTGAAGTACTTTGTTGTGATACATCAGACACCAAACGAACACTTTGTCTAAATACCTGATTGTGAGAGTTTTGGCCATTTTGAGTTATTGAAGCATAACTGTCTTTAGATGCAGTTTTCTGCACTGATATATCGTTGTGTTTAGAAAAATGTTCCACTGTAGTTTGTTGTTTGTATACATTGCTAAGATTAATTCTTGAACTTTCCAATTTCTTTAACTTTTGTGGTGAAGATTTTATGGATGCAGATTTTCTGCTTTGAGGAGGCTTTTTCTTTTGCATGTCCTCCACTAAAGATCCTAATCGGGAACCATAATTATCTGCTCGTCTTGGAATAGGTGGCTTTTTATCTCTGCTTGAATTCTGTAGTTTTTGTGACCCATTCTGCCCAGATGTCTGTTCTTTATTTCTTTCATTTTCATCATGTTTCACGTTTGCTTTCTTTGGGATTTTAAAGTTGCCTAATTTATTACTTGCAACTTTAATGAAATCTGATGTAGAAGGTTTGGTTGCTTTGTTGCCTTTCTTAGATAAATTTTTGTCATTTTTTGCTTTCGATTTTCTTTTCTGACTAACACTATCTAAATTAGCATCACAATCTTTGCTCCGTTCAATGAAACCTTCTTCCCTCCCTCTTATTTTACGAGATCTTATTTCCATTGGTTTGGGATCTGTTAGTAATGTTCTTCCACATGATTTGCGTACAAGTTTATTTTTAGAATTCTCAGTACTAGCAAAGCTAGACTGATTATATTTATTAGCTAATATATTATCTTCTGCACAGTCTTCAGCATAAAAATTTTGAGAAAGTTCAGGAAAGAAGTCGATCTCGGCTTCTGCAGTTATCCCTTTTTTCACCTCATTTTCTGAATTTTCTTTGTACTTGGAATTAACGAACTTTATAATATCTTCCAGTGTTTCACTATTTTCCTCTTTGGCAGACACATTATTTCTGAAAGGAACATCAAAATCCTCCTCACATTCCATTATTATATCTAAACCATCATCATCTATATTATTTACGGCTACAAAACTAGATGCTGGTACAGAAGTTTTCTCAGAGATATAACTTTCCTGTTCCACATCTATTTCATCATAATCATCAACAGGTTCTGACTTTATGATGACCTGAGATGAATTAAAATCTAAAAATGAATCATCATCAGAGATATAAATAACTTCTTCTTCCTGGGAATAACCAAAATTTTCCTCCTTTTTATCACGTAATACAGATTTAGCACCTACAGTTGCAGACTGCATATTTTCTGTTGGTAAGTCAGTAGATAAATGCAATTTTTTAGGAAGAACTCCATCAGATATAAAATCAGAACTATTTTTTCTCTTCATATCACATTTTATACCATTACTTGCAGATGCAGTCTTTACAGCTGTTGATATTTCCACAGGACTCAAACAGTCAAAATTTCCAACTATTATACCAGAAGGCAAATGGAAATACTTAGAATCACACTTTACCAATGGCACGTAACAGTCTCGAATTTGCACAGACTCCTTTTTCCCACCTTTTCTTTTCAACAAACATTTTTCATAGTGTTCTGATTCAAGAGAGAATTCAGTAATTTCAGGTTTACTATTGTTAAAAATAGACATACTTAATTTTGAATTATGTGCAGTTAATTCTGTCTCACCTAATGTTACATAAGGAATTTTTTCAAGATCAGAGTTTAATATTTCAGTTTTGTTTAAATCTGATGATTTTTCTTTTAAATTAATATGCTCTACAGATATTTTTCTTGCACTGGGTTTAACTGATGGAATAGTGGAGATTTCTTGTGAAGTAGATGATGGAAGTGAAGGAGACACACAATTCCTCTGGCAATCTGATCTATTATCAACAGGGCATTTTTGAATTTTTCTCCCGGGAACTAGAGGAGGTAAGAATAAATTACCAGAAGTTTCAGTTACTTGCGTTATACTTTCATCATCATTAGAAACAAATGAATCTAATTTTGAGTTGTGTATAGTAAATTCTGGATTGACTGAACCTTTCAATAGTTCAGCAGATATATTTTTAGGAGAGTTTTGTACTTTACATTTGCTAAGTTTTGATGTTTTTTCTTTGAAACTAGTCTGCTGTGTGGAAATTTCCTCTGCATTAACTCCATTGCAGTGTACAGTCACCTGCTGACTTCTTAGTACTGAACTAGAATCTCCCTTACTTTTCTCTATGTCTGTATTGCAGCAGGGTTTTATTGAAGCAGATGCTGATGTCTCTGATGGCAAACAGTTAGTTTGGCATGCTGATTTAATATTATCAGATGAATTTGGCTGGGCAGTTTCTTTTTTATTAGGAAGAGGATAAGAAACATACTTATCATTTCGAATTTCGATTATTTCCACATCATCATCATCATCATCTTCCTGTTTTATGATATTCATAGGAGGATTCCTAACACTTAAAGAAACGACGAAAGCACCTTTAATTATATTTGGCACACCAAAACCAATAACATCACCAATTTGTAGTTGCCGAGGCTCTTGATTTACACGTGCTCCATTTACATACACTCCATTTAAACTTTTCAGATCTTTGACGAACCAAACATTGTTAACTTTCTGAAAACGTGCATGATATCGAGACAACTGTCCATATCCTAACAGAAAGGGCTGCAATTGACGACCAATGGTTATTTCATCACGATCCAGAGAAATTGTAATAGGATTATCAATTTCGGGATCTAACTGACGTAAAAAATATTCCATGATTTTTATTACGTTGTGCAGTCTATATTTCGAAGGAGCAACAAGTATGTTATCTGATGACCAGAATTTGTTACTCTGCCCGTAACGCTAGAATACGGGCAGAGTAATAAAAATGATATATAGCTAATTTCAATATATTGTTTACGCATAGCATGCAGTACATTTAATAAAAATTCGAATCCGTTCACATCCAATAACATAATAGAGAAACCTACATAAACAAACTGAAAGCGAGTATTGCCAATAATCAAAATAGAAATACAACACAAAATGAAATAGGCTCTGATGGTTTACGGAAGTCTAAAAATATCAATTTGCGATATTTTTATGCTTAGAACTTTTGATATTTTAGTGATTATTTTACAGCATTTAGAAGCACCTCTGTTACTTCGCAGTAAATTCGAAAATAAATATTTACTCGAGGGAGGTAGGTGTCGCCACAGGCCAAGTACTCTGGTGTTTTCACCTCTATCCTTATCCTTATCCTTAATTTGTTCCTATCTGATCAGTATACGGCTTTATGAAAGGCCTTTACTAATACATATCTATCCTTACACAAGGAATCCAAATAGAAAAATATCCATATAAGATGGAAGAAAAAACCTTGCTGTACATCCTAGCGAAGGCGTAAGTGGCGCCATCCTTTGGCCACGGTAGCTGTTGTGAAATGAACTGAAGTAATAACCGGCGCGAGGCGCTGCTGTTTGTGACGTCAGCCTGCGTGCTGAGTGTTTCAAATGTTTTGCTTGTAGACGAACGAAAGCTGATCTCGGAAGAGTGATACTGTTTTGATGGAAATAAAGAATGACTTATTAAGAACTTTTTTGTCTTTATTCATAATGCACCCAGCCTCGGGTAGAGGCAGGCCCGCAACTGAACGAACTGTTTTTGAATATATTTGATTTATATATTTTCTGTGTTCTTCGTAACATAGTGGTACCCTCGGCGGGACCGGTTTCTTTGAATTGTAATTTTCCGATTGAACTTTTGATATTGAATTTCGATTTTGAATATACTTTGAAGATGGATTTGATCGCTTTAAAGGCTCAAAAAAAAGGACTTAGATTTGCGTTTTCGCAAACCTCAAGGAAAACCGAAAGTGAATTAACTAAAGAAGTAAGAGATTTAAAAATACTTTCGATTTTGAAGTGTCAACCTTGTGATAAATTCCAGAGACTTGACGTATGCCAGAGTGCTATATCGCAGCAGATTTTGCAGACTGAAGATGGAGAAAAATTATTTAGTGATGATTTTCAAGAGGAGAATTATCGAGATAAGTTTCTAGAACAGTGTGCTCAAATAGATGCGGAAATACAAGCCTCCTCTCTTTCAAATAATTCCGAATCTAGGAAATTTAAATTGCCTAAAATTGATCTTAAAAAATTCAGTGGTGAAGCTAAAGATTACCTGACTTTTTGGAGTCAGTTCCAGAAAATCCACGATGACAAAAGTATCGCCGATGAAGATAAAATGCAGTATCTATTGCAGGCCATGGAACCCAAATCGAAAGCAGAACGCCTAGTCCTTAGCTTCCCGGCAACGGCAGCTAATTATCCTAAAGCCATCGAACAACTAAGAAAGCGCGATGGAAGCGCAACTAAGTGGACGCGAAGATTTACTTGTGCAAATCTATGTGAGAGATTTGTTAAGCCTAGTGATGAAAACGCTGTAACTGGAAGAGCAAAAACGGATCTACTCTCCCTGTATGATGAACTAGAAGGAAAATTGCGAGCGTTGGAAAGTTTGGGAAGAACCCAAGAAAAATATGGGGATTTTTTTACCCCCTTAGTGGAAAGTTGCTTACCAGAAGAAGTATTGATGGCATGGGAAAGAAGCAGAAATCACGACTCCATTGAAACTAAAGGGAATCGATCTTTGAAATATTTAATGAATTTCTTAAAACAAGTTAAGGGGGAAGAGATGGTTCTCCTCGCAAGAACTGGTTTCGCTTCCCAACAGAACCATCGGAAGAAAGATTTTAACCACGAACAGGTAAAGCAAAATGATTCCGTAACAGCATCAGCTCTAGTAAGTCTTGAGAATTCAGGTAAGAGTGTTCCGAACTGTAATTTTTGTGAAAAGAAACATTATAGTGAAAAATGTTACTCTGCAAAAAAAAAATGATTTTAGCTGAAAAACAACAGTTGTTGAAAAAAGGTGCTTGTTTTTCTTGTCTGAAAAGAGCGAGTCACATTAGTAAATTTTGTCCTTTCAAAGGTAAGTTAAGTTGTTCTATTTGCAAAAGTTGTAATCATTTTGATGTAATGTGTAATCAAAAGCTAAAAAATAATGATCAGATAAATGTTTCAAAAGAGAGTTCTCTTTCTAACTGTAGCAGAAGCGAAACTGTATTTTTGCAAACGCTTTGCGTTCGAATTCGGTGTCAAGGTCGCGAGAAAATTATTCGCTGCATAATTGATAGCGGAAGCCAGAGTAGCTACGTTAGTGAAAATATGATGAGTCAGCTTAAAGCATCTCCACTTCGGGAGGAGACTGTTATACATGCACTGTTTGGGGGGGACTAAACAAAACCTAAACAACAAGAAGTGTTTTCGGTCGAGGTCAGCAATTTAAAAGGAACATTCGCATGTAGTTTTGAGGCATTATCGGAAAAAAAGATTTGCGGTTTTATTCCTAAGGTTAAAGATAAAGAGATTTTGAATGAATTAAAAGAAAAAGAAATCGAATTTTCTGATCCATTGCGAAAGGAAATTGAAATTAACCTTTTAATCGGAGCAGATGTTATAGGAAAATTATTGACGGGAAATTCTATTGAATTACAGTCCGGGGGATAACGGCTGTCGAAACGAAACTTGGGCGGACGGTATTTGGAAAACGAAATTCGGGTGAAAAGGATAATATTTGGGAAACATTTTCAATGCATGTCAGGAGAATTCCTCTGAATGAGTTATGGGAACTTGAAAAATTAGGAATATGCGCTCCAAACGAAACTGTTAAAATGAATGAAAGTTTTAATTTATCTGAATTTGAGAACAAAATGAAAATTCTTCCAGATGGAAGATATGAAGTAGAACTTCCGTGGAAATGTGATACGACACATTTAACCGATAATAAAGAATTATCCTGGAAAAGGTATCAAAAGATGATCTATAAACTCAGATGTAGTAAATTTTTCGATGATTATCAAAATGTGTTCAAGGAATGGGAAAGGTTGAATATTATTGAACGCGTACCAGAAAACGAATTGAATAATGAATGTCATTATTTGCCGCATGAGCCTGTAATCAAATTAGGAAGTGAAACCACGAAAATTTGTCCTGTTTTTGACGCTTCTGCATCTGAGAAAGGGAAACTCTCTTTGAACGAATGTTTGTGTAAAGCAATAAATCTTATTGAATTAATACCTGATGTTATAGATCGTTTTAGAATGTATCCGATTTGTATTAGTGCCGATATTGAAAAAGCTTTTTTAATGTTATCTGTCGCATCTAAAGATAGAGATTTTCTCAGATTTTTTTTCCCATGCAATGAAGGGCAATTAATTTATAGGCATTGCAGAGTTGTGTTTGGAGTTTCTTCAAGCCCCTACATGTTGAACGCATCTATAATGCATTTATTAGAAAACTGTCCACCTCAATATAGTGGTTGCTCAAAAATTGAAATCGTCATTTTATGTGGATAATTGTTTATCTAGTGTTTTTAGTATTGATGAACAGTTTACGTTTATTGAACATTCCAAATTAATCATGTCAAATGGATATTTTAACTTGCGCGATTTTGAAAGCAATGTGGCTGGTACAAATGTTGACAAACATTCAGGGGATACTTCCGTTTTGGGGGTAATTTGGAATTTGGATAATGATACACTGAGGTGGTGCACAGATACAGATACATTGACCTCTGATACGAAAATCACAAAGAGGACAATTTTGGCAATTGTGCAGACAATTTTTGATCCTATTGGTTTATTAACGCCAACTACATTGCTTCCAAACTGTTGTTGCAAAAATTGTGGAAAGTGAAAATTGCATGGGATGATGAATTGTCTCCGAATGATGTAAATATATTTTTGAACTGGTTTAAAGAACTTAATGTTTTGAAAGATGTTACTTTGCCTCGATACTTGTTTATCAATGACACGTCTTAACTATATGTATTTGTGGATGCTTGCAAGGGGGCGTATGCAGCGTGCGTCTTTGTTCGATCAATATTTAATTCTGAAGTAAAAATAAATCTCGTACGGGCGAAGTCTAGAGTATCGCCTTTGAAATCTTTAAGCATTCCTCGCTTAGAATTAATGGCCTGTTGTACAGGTTCTGGACTTTCAAATTCTATTATCAAGGCTCTCAGTTTGCCCGATTTAAAAGTTACCTTCTGGTCTGATTCAACCACTGCCCTTTGGTGGATAACAGAGCAAGGAAATTGGTCCGTTTTCGTCGAAAATAGGGTTAAAGAGATTCGAGAGTTGACGCGAGGTCATTCATGGAGACATGTCCCAGGGAAACTAAATATTGCCGACTTGTTGTCGCGCGGATGTTTTGCGAAGCAAATGCTTCGGTCTAGATGGTGGGAAGGCCCCTTGTGGTTGCGAGAAGGCCCTGAAAACTGGCCCACTGGTGAGATTATTTGTTTGCATGAAGAAATAGAATTGGAGAGGAAAAAGATAAAAATAGTGAATATTGATCTATCAAAAGACGCACACCCTTGGCATCGAATCGATGTATCCAATTATGACAAAATGATTAGAATATTTGCATGGATATTTAGATTTGTAAATAATTGCAAAGGTGGTTCTGAAAAGAATAGAAACATTGAACTTTCACAGTATGAAATTGAAAATTCTGAGAAAAATTTAATTCGTTTGGTTCAAAATTATTATCTGACTGATAAGAAATCTTATAATTTTATCGAAACACTCAGCACGCAGGCTGACGTCACAAACGTACAACGCATCTTTCCTCTGGAGATACAGGCCAATGATAGAAACATAATTTCTGATAAGAAACTGGGTGCAGAGGAATCTAATTCTAGTGCTGGATGTACGTTAAAAGGGAGAAATGCACGTGATAAAATGATGATGCAACAATATTCCTCCTCTCGACGACTTGTAAAAGCTCCAAAAAGACTTGATCTTTTAAATAATGTTTGTTATGAGTTTGAGACTCAACCTGAGTCTCGAGGGGGGGAGGATGTTGTGAAATGAACTGAAGTAATAAGCGGCGCGAGGCGCTGCTGTTTGCGACGTCAGCCTGCGTGCTGAGTGTTTCGAATGTTTTGCTTGTAGACGAACGAAAGCTGATCTCGGAAGAGTGATACTGTTTTGATGGAAATAAAGAATGACTTATTAAGAACTTTTTTGTCTTTATTCATAATGCACCCAGCCTCGGGTAGAGGCAGGCCCGCTACTGAACGAACTGTTTTGAATATATTTGATTTATATATTTTCTGTGTTCTTCGTAACAGTAGCAATCATTTCAGAACTGTGCGGCCTATGTGTCGCCATCTATTGATAGGATCTAAAGCTTCGATGAACTGATAGTAAGGCAGTAATCTGAGCATTTAAAATTTTTTCAACTGAAAAATATCACCTGATGGAAATATTAACTGGCCATTAACTGGATTACTATAAGTGGCTGTTTATCACTTTTTTATGTAAAATTTCAAGAAAGATTAATTAAAAAAATTCCTTGGATAGCATGACGTAAACAAACTCTGAAGGTATTTCCATTAGCGGCACATGGTGAAAACTGGGATATGTTGACATCAGGAAAAAGGAGAGCGTATATCTGCTAAACTATAGATGTTAGAATAAAGGACCAATGAGGTCTATTCTAACCTTCATGTGCTAAACCATGGTGACATGAAAACTGTTACAGCGTGCACAGGGAATTCTCTTGAAGGACGAAAAGGAGTTTTTCCAGTTATGGAACTTTAAGAAAAATAAAATTTATTCCGCAAATCATTTCTAGTTAATATTTATTGAACAATATCATTATTAGTTCATATTAATTGAGAAAATAAAGCTTATTTCCTAAAGTATTTGAAAAAATGTTCTATTCTACAAATCATTATTAGTTCATATTTATTTCGCACCTAAGCTTGATTTTTCGCTGTATGGGCAAAAAGACTTAGCAGATGCAAAACAAGATGTTTTTCGCTCTGTGTGTTTTACTCTCTGTCGGCGCAATGTCGGCGAGTTCTGATCTGATGCAATGAACAGCGATGTGATTGTCTTTGTGCTTTACCGATGTTCTTCACTTGATACAAAGTATAAGGACGCGCGGCTCTAGTGTATAATTGGGTGCCCCTTCGATTAGCGACAATTTTTTGTAAAATTTTGCCGATGAAATCTTATTTCTGGTTACCACGACAGTGTAACTGTGCTTTAGCCTCCTGATTTTTTTAAAATAAAAATAGATTGATGTGTACATGGACAAATTTAACTAGTTTGTGCAATTCTGATATGTTTTTTTAAGTGAAAACAGATCGATGTGTACATGGACAGAGAATTTACGCAATTCTTTGACTTTTTATTTTGGTTTTGTGTAGCGGCCATCTTGAAATTGTGTCTTCCTGGCGCCGATCTTGGCGTCAAAAAAAGAATCGCCAAAAAACAAGGGGCACCCAATTGTAAACTTTTACCGGATGCGGATGCGCTGCTGGACTTGCGGATGCATGCCTTTGTGTGTATATTGAGGTTCAGATATTAATGGATTTTTCTAGTTATAAATCTCCTTATCATCAACTCAGCATGTTTTAAAAGGTACATTTGTTACAACTGTTTTAATTCGTATCCTGTGTAAACAAAAAAGAAGTGTGGATTTGGTTGAATATTTATTTGAAATTAATTTCGGAATGCTGGATGCAATTATGTGATTATATTCTTGCTGATATAATATGTGATATTAATTTAAGTTAAATCTAAGGTGAATGCTGAATACTTATTTCTGGAACTTTAATTTCAGAAATAGATGCAATGAATATGTGATTTCATTAATATTAGTTTAAAATCTAAGAAACAAAACTGGAAATGAACCTTCAATATATATTACGGCAAGTTGAACCTGGACTTGCTAATCCTCTTATAATTAATTTAAATGAGGAAGAAGTGTTCATAGGTGGTCAAATGATTCCTGAATTAATAATGTATGACAGAGTTTCTCGTGTGCATGCGTATATTAAAAAAAGAGGAAATGAATTTTTTGTAAGGGATTTAGGAAGTTTAAATGGTGTTTATGTCAATGGTATTAAAATAGGCGAGGATCTGCATAAATTAGAAATCGGAGACTTAATTGGATTTGGTGTTCCTTCTTTTAATGATGGTGGTTTTGTTTGCACATTTAGTGCTAAAGTCGTGTCTTCCATTGCACTAAAACACAGACATTGTGCTGTGGAAGACACTGAGTGTAACCCTGTAAAGAAAATAAAACAAGAAATTATAATACCTGAAAATGATGGAATTGAAGTTGTATTAGAAAATAAATCTTTTATTAACAGTATATTAGATGAAAAAAAAGTACTGGAATTAGAGAATTTGGAAGTTGTAGAAAGTAAACCTGTAAAAATTAAAAGAGAAATTCTGGAGACTAAAGACACTGTAAGTGAAGATAATTTTAAAAATACTTCAGTTTCTTCACCTGATGAGCATATCTTCAACAAAAATATTCCTTCTAATTATGAAATTTTAGGAATGGACTATGATCCTTCAAGTGCATTTGTGAATTCAACACTTTTGAATAAGGGAGAAAGTAAGATACATTTTTCGTCAGATACACAAATTCTTGATCAGACTGCTAAGTCAAGTTGTCCTGTCAGAATCAGTAATTCTTTGCAGCAACATCAAATAGAATTGTTTAAAAATACAGAAAACTTGCAGAATAATAAAAATGAATTATACTTATCAGGTAGTTCCTGGGACCTTCCTGGGACCGAGTCAGAATTGGTGGAAATCTCTAAGGTTTCATGCTTCACTAAAGAGACTGATTTTGTTAAAAGAAATAATCTGTTGATGGTAGAAACTGAAACAGCTTTAATAAAGCCATTACATCACATTCATGATAAAAGAAAGATAATATCCTCTGATGCAGAAGAAATAATTTGCATTTCAAATGATGATGAAATTATTTCAGCTGTCAATTTTAAACCTTTAGATGATAATTCACTACCTAATTTTAAACAGTCTCATTTTGATATACCTGAAACCGAATCAGAATGTACAAACAAAAATTTTGGAGATGTTTGTATTAAAGAAACTAATAAACCAGTATTAAATACTATAACAGCAAATAAAAATGACTTAAAAAGAAGAGAAGTTGTTAAATCATGTGGAAAGGCACTGTTAACCGAGCCTTTACCAATGCGTTATCGAAATACCAAAATAAGAGGCAAGGAAGAATGGTTTAAAGAGCAGAATGATTATAGGAAAATACATGTTAAAAAAAAGAGCAATGTTCGATTGATTCCATCGTGTAAGAATACATCTGACAAATCAGTGAAAAGAAATTTTGTTAAAAGTCATAATTTAATATCTAAAGATGACCAGAATAATGGTATGCAACAAATATCTGAATTGGAAATTAGTGCAGATTGTCTTTCTTCTGAAACAAGATCATCTCACTTAATCAGTGCAACTGTATTCAAGGAGAATTCGATTGAAACCAAAGTTCTTTCAAACAAAGGAGCATCAAAACCACCTTCCATTGCTAAGAGGCCTGAGAATTATGGCTCTCGTATATCAAACTTAGTAGAAACTATGCTAAATGGGAAAAACGTATGTGCAAGAAAAACTGTGGTAAAAAATATTAAGGATCAGGTTGCAGAAAAAACAAATCATTCTAAAGAAGGTCAAGTAACAAAAACCAATATGAGAAGTATTCAAAATGAATCGCAAGATAAAACTTATGTATCATTACTACAAAACATGCCAATAAATTCTATTACCACTAATATAAATAAAGAGGATTTAAATTGTGAATATAAGGATTTAGCAGATGGAGATAAGGAAAGTAAATTTAGTTTATTTAAAAATAAAATTAATGACTGCTCGAATGGTTTTCAAGGTGAAGCTAACTTAACGCCGTCAAGGAATGCATTTAATTCAGTTACTTTTGATTCAACTAAAAGAGCTGAAGTTCATGTGAAAGAACTGCAAGAATGTGAACCTGATAAATGTTCAAATAAAATCCAAAATTTATCATCAGTATCTGGTGATTTGATAAACATGGCCAACAGAAAAACATTTAAAAGAAGGTCGGCATTGAAGGATAAGTCATCAGGTCCAAAAAGGGAAGCCCCAATAAATATAAAAAATTCAAATAATGTTCAGTCTGAATGTGAATTAAGTCCATCTTCTGTTAAGCTGCCGGTCAGTTCTACCAGCAATAATTTAAATAAAGCAAATTTAAAGCTTTCATATAGAGATAATCAAGAATTCAAATTTGCTCTAATGGGTAGTAGTCAATTAACAAAGGAGGCATGTAATTCTTGTATATCTTTGAGCAAAACTGATTTAATGCCAACCACAAATACAGGAACAAAAACAGACAACATTTTCCCTTGTCATGGAAATAGTAATTCAGAATTAAATCATCATTTATCACCTGCACAGACAATAAACTTTTATTCTGTTTTAGAAGAAGTACTTGGATTTGATGTATCTTCTTTTATAAATAAGGTTCATGAATCTTTTCCATTTGGAAATATTAGATCTTTACCACACTCTTTTGAATCATTAGATTCTTATGTATCTTCATTCCATGCAGCTATTTTATCTGAAGTTTGGGATTTAATATTCTTTGAAAGCAAGCGAATACAAGAATGTAGGAAAAGTTTAAGAAAATTTTACATATCCATTGTAAACGTGTGTGGAATTAGTAATGGCATGATGGAATTGCAGTGTGAATCAGTTGTAAATAAGTTATCTTTCTGCCCATGTGAAGGATTTATAATATTATTAAATCATAAAAATGAAACCCATGATACTTACATAATTGGTTACATTGACAAGCAGTATAATAGAACACTGAATCTACAGACTTTAACACCCGAATGGAAGCATTTACATTCAAAATACTTAGACGAAGCAATTATTGTGAAGTTTTCTGTTTATATAAAGATCTTACAAACTTATCCCTTATGCAGAAAATTAATGACAGCAAATGCTGTCTGCCGTGTAAAAAGTAAATTGTCACTGGCAGATACGTTTCATTGTCTTTATACTTCACCATTGCTGAAAGATATTTTATATCCTAGTGAGAAAGCGTTTTTCTTAAGTAATCCCCATATGTTTCCTGGCAAACCTCCTTTTAGCTATTCTCCAAAGCAAGCTATATTAGCAATTAGTGATGTGATATATAATGCAGCTCCTGATCCCAAAATTATTGTTCTCCGTACATCTTATATAGATAAAACTCAAACTATTGTTGGGTTACTTCAGAATTTACTTTCTAATAACTTACTATATAATAACAGTAAAATAAGAGTTTTGATTACAGCACCATCTAATGCAGCAGTTGATAAAATAGGATGGAAATTGATTGAGGCAAATGAGCATTGTTCTTCAAAAAGCTGCTTTATAAAGTTCGTCAGATTCGGGCATTCAAAATCTATGCATCATAGTTTGCTACCATATTCACTTGATGCAAAAGCTACTCGATTATATCGAGAGACTATGCAAAATAAAATGGAGTGTGAGAAAAAAGAACTTAAAGTATTACAAGCATCTGTCAATGAACTTAAACAAAAACAAACTAATGTTGCCGACTTTAATACTGAATTAAAATTACAGTTGCTAACTAACCAGTGCGAGCCCATGAAACAAAGTTTTAATTTAGATGACTTTGGGAACCAAACTGCTGAGAAGGATTATAAATTATCAATTTTGAGGGATGCCGATGTTATATTATCGACACTGGGTAGTTCTACCCATCCTATCTTAATGTCTGCATTTGGTTCTCATTCAGAAATGTGTTTAACGTGTTGTATCGTAGATGAAGCTACAGACTGCTCAGAATTAGAAATTCTTCAGCCATTGAAACTAGGGTTCAATAAATTAGTATTATTTGGAAACTGTAATGAAAAACGGCGACATTCTTTTCATTCAGGACATCCATTTGAACGTTCAATGTTTGAAAGATTTAATCTTTTTTTCCAAACTTATAAGCGAAACCCACTTTTTAATGTTAAAAAAGAAAACTAAAATTATTCACAGCCCAAATTTTAACAGCATATGTATATGACTCCTCTGAAATCAAAATTTGTACAGTCAAAAGTTGTTAATTCGGACACCCATAATCCGGAATGATCTATAATCCGGACCTCAAAGCTTCAAACTTTCTGCGCATGCGCGTAAGGCCTTTACAGCTGAGAATATGCTTGTGCGCGTGCGCAAAATACATTTATGAGTGCGCATTTAATGTATAACGAACGGTATAAGCTAAGCTAAAATGATTTAATTATCTATTTCAGTTAATGTTGCAGATTGCGTTGTTCCTTAATCTTCGAATTGGATCTGGCTTATTATTTTTTGCAGACTGTTAGAGCAATTTTATAAAAGTAACTTGAACTTTCGATTATGTCAAATAGAATTTATGATATATATTTATTAATATGTAAATGATCTACAAGCGAAAGTATGTTTCGAAGTCATTAAACAAAAGTGGAATTGCTACAAAAATGGATAAATATCCTTTGTTATCTAACTTTGTTTATCTTACGCCGTGGCGCCGCGCAATGAATTGGAAGTTGATCTCAGCACTATCCTTATTTCAGGACAGATGTTTTTTTTTTTATTTGGCTATAATTCTTATTAAATGTGTATTTCATCTCGATGTACTCCATCTTTGATATATAAATCAAATTCCTCGTCATTATAATTCGCTCGATAGTGAAGAAAGTGCAGAGGTATGAAACGAAAAAATTTCAATTGACAAATTAGTTGGTATTCTCGACACAGCAAATTATAGGACTTGAACAGTGGAACATTGTAAACTGAACAAGAATTATGCTGTTTAAAGAATTAAAGAGAATGTATTATCACATAAAAAAAACAAATTACATTGAAAAAAGTTTATAAAACAACAAATATTAACTTTTTTTTTTATAAATTTTGATATCCTTTAGATCATAATTGTTATTCATAATTACGGTTCATATTTTTAATTTTATAATTTCTGCATGCCTCTTAACAGATTTAAACTGATGATCTATAATCCGGAATCGCCGAAGTCCCGACGAGTCCGGATTAACGAGTTTTGACTGTATAAATTGTGTAGTTAGTTTTAAAATACATATTATGATAAACTTATAAATAAATGATGATTAGAAGATGATATTATATATGCTAATTTTGGTTGTTAATAATATATTTTGTATTACTAATTAAGTACTACTACACCAAATTAAGGTTACTTTTCCGTTGAAAGATATACCATGCATTTTCAGCATGTTTTGGCTTCATTCTTTCCACATGCCTTTGCTTCGATACTAGAAATGGAACAATCAAAACAGCAATATGGAAACGTTTTCTGATTTCGTGGCAAAAACCTACTGTGGTGGAAGAGCATGGCCTATATTATTTTATTTATTTATTTGAATAAGAAGTTTTCATAATTTTTTAACATTAATCTGTTTTAAAGTAAGGATGAGATGACAAGGATATGGCATATACCACTCTTGTGTGAATTATTCTAGTTAACTGATGGGTTGTATTTCATTTAAAGTAAGTTTTGGTTTGCTTGCAAAACTCGGTAGACTTTAAATTTAGGTTCTGACACCTTTTTCTTCCTGACATGTGCAAAAGCTGCATAACCATTCCGGCTTTGAATCGTATTTTAATTTCGTGATATGGTTATTCGAATACTAGTCTTTCTTTATGAATGAACTTAAAAGAAACATTTTAGTCTCTTGTTTGCCTGTTGACAATTATCTCCAGGAGAAGAGCCAAATCAGACTGACAACACCTGACATTGAAAAAATACACCAAAACAAAAGGAGCACCAAATGGTATGGCTTAAATAGAAAAATACCAGATAAAGACAGTTTAAAATTCTTGATCTGCTCAAAGTATTTGAAACCTATTCCTTTTAATAATTATAGTACAGTCAAAAGTCTATAATCCGGACTTCAAAGCTACAAACTTTCTGCGCATGCGCATATGCGTTTATGAAGGTGCATAATACGTTTACGCATGCGCATTTAATGTATAACGGACGGTATAAGCTAAGCTAAAATTATCTAAATATTAATGTTGCAGATTGCATTGTTCCTTAATCTCCTAATTGGATCCGCTTATTATTTTTTGCAGGACTGTTAGAGCAATTTTTATAATTTATAAAAGAAGCTTGAACTTTCGATTATGTCAAAGAATTTCCGATCCTGGAGTGCCAAAGGATCTACAAACGAAGGCAGTTTCGATGTCCATCAAACAAAATATGTTTAATAAGTAAACAAAAAATATTAAGCCTTTTTTTTGGCAATTATACCTTAGATCAAATTGCTCTTTATTTCTTAAATTATGGTTTATTTTTAATTTATAATTTCTGCACCATCTACCATATTTAATTGATGACTATATCCGGAATGTCGAAGACGAGTCTGGATAAAGACTTTTGACTGTATTAGGGCTGTATGTTTAGGATCATTGGCCTGAATAACTTGAATATATATTACATTCCAAGTTTTTTGAAGATGTTTCATTTTAATAAGAATATTTATATATTTTTACTGATTGATATTGTTTTTTATAAAAATAATAATTTCCATCCCAGAGGCAGCAAAATCATTATGCTGCATGCTCAACAGTAAGCCACGTGTATATATATATATATATATATTTTTTTTTAAGATTCAACTCTTGTTCAGATTATTAGTCTCATAGCAATTTAGTCTAAATATATTAAATTTCAATCTCATTTGGAAATATAAGATTGTTCCAACATGATAAATCTTTGATTTCCATGTATTTTTCGAATGCCAAGTGGCTAAAAATTTTCTTGCTCTCTTGTTGATGAAGAACTTCCTTATTGCCAATATCCCATTATGTTCATGTACCTTAATGGCTCTTTTAACAGTTGCAGGGTTAATTTTTGTTGTTAAACTGTTCTTCTAAATCCTCTTAAATTTTGCAATACTAATTTTAGGGTTTTGTTTTGATTTTTCATAGAATAAATCTGTAATGATTTTCTGACTTCAGTACATTTTCAACAATTCCATACTATTTCCATTATAATAATTCTTGTGATAGGTTTTCATTTACAACAAAAAATTATGACAAGAAAAATTGTCTGCTAAAACATTTTGACAAAACTTTCGAGTGTCCAAATGATTATGAGTTATTTATTAACACTTTTTGAATAAACAATTTTATTATCTTTATTTCAATAGGCCCACCATCGGCCGAGTGGTAAAGTCGCTGAACACTGGTAGTTCGGTCCGAGGTTCGAATCCCGCAAACGGGCTGGCTGCATGGGTGTTTTCGTGGTTTTCCCCATGTGTAACGTGTATACGAGCTAGTTTCCCTTAGAAAGTCCTCCACGAAGGCATTCCTCCCCTTAGGCAAATAGGCCTAGTGTGCTTTCCCATAATTAAATACACCACACCACCACACCTTTATTTCAAAATTTAGTTCAAGATCTACTCAAATATATTTCAATGCTACTAGTGTCCAAAAATGAATGTGAGCCACTATACATATATAGTATATGTGTGCATGTGCATACACACATAATTTTAGAAGACAAAATAGAGTATAATAATACAAGAGAATTTTGGGAAAATTTATAAAGTTTCAAATTTCATAATATCTGTAGTAATTGTTTCAGTTCTAATTGCTTTCAAAATGTCATAACAAAAGTGAAGAAAAATTAAATGCAAAATATATTTTATTCGGAATAGAGATAGAATAATTTGTGTCATACATCTGTGGTATAAAGTTACTTCATTTTCATGAGCATTGTTGATTTAAATGTTACTGTTCTGTTTACTTAAATTTAAAAAAGAAAATAATTTAAAGTACACACTGAGTCGTTTTAGAATTACAGTCAAGAAAATACCAGTAATTTCTGGTGGTGTTGGTAACTTTAGGGTGTAGGAGCCAAACACTTCACCAAGTTTCATTTCACCTATGATTCATTTTGACTTTATCTTTCCATATGAACCTTGCTAAAAGTAGGTACATCTTAAAATATCAATTTTTTCTGAATTATGAACTACTCCCAGTACTTCCTTGTGAAAGTGGCCAACATATAACCCTTTGGCAATTTCTGAAACTTGGACATTACAGACTGTTTACCAGTTTCGATGGCCACACTCTATTTTTTGTCAGTAAAAGATGTCAGGATACTTTTCCGTTTTGCCGCCACAGGCGATAAAGGCTCCAATAATGGTACAAGCAATGCCAAACGAAATATCCTCACTGGTAACCTTTTACTCCTCATTTTCAAAACGAGCCGCAGGCATTTCTTATCAGATTGATTGTTTCTTTCAGTACTGGCATACAATTACATAGAATTTTTACCAGATATTTCAATTTTATGACCTAAGGCCATTCGCGGGCGGTAATTAAGTCAATTAGGATGTAATCACACCACTCGCCCGATGGCAAAAATATAGAAAAGGCAAAGTCAAGGGTTAAATTCATCAATTCTAATGAGAATGCACTAGCGAAGTAAAGCACTGCGGTTTTATATAATTTCTGAGTAAGCTATTCGTACGAATTGAAATAATTCTTGCATTTAAACTTGTATTCCAAATTAAGATTTAACTTGAAATTTATGTAGATATTAACTGAGAGAATTAGATTTTTGTGGCATAGTTTATGTGAGATGAGATCACTTGGGGTCACGTGATATGAGACAGCGAATCAGGATGTTGTACCATGAAAGCACAGCAAATTCTTAAATTAATGTATTTTTACAAATTTATTGGCTTTTTTTTACAAAATTTTAAATGACATTTAGATGTTTATACCTTCAAAATGAAAAAATTCTTAGAACTAACATTTGTCAACTTTTTTTATGTGTATACTGTGTGTTGTCCCCAATGAAGTCTGCTGGGCGAGATTTGCGCCAGCGAAATGGAAAAGTACCAATGTCAGTCATTAAAAAAGTATTTTCTGGACATAATTTAGCATTTTATTTATTTTCTTAAAATCAATTATTTTTCTGTTGGTAGTACTGAAATTAAAAGGTATGTTTTATAACCTGTGACATCTTAAAATCACAGAAATATGATGTGTGTATTAAAATTACTATAAAAATATTATACTTTATGTATAATAAATATTTACTGTATGTATGTTTATGAAATTAAAAGCTTATTGTTTTGTTTTGTATGAGTGCTCTGACCTTTAAAAAATCATAGAACTGCT